CGGGCTGGGAACTAGGAAACAGGCCCCCCCCCCCCACGACAAATTTCTGAATCCGCCACTGCCTTCCATACTGACTTCAGCTGCCGACGACGATTTATTTGCTGCCTAACACTAGCAAAAAAATATGATTCCCACATAATTCAACAGTAAGGAAATGGACAGCGGGCCCCGTTTCATTCCTTGCACCCATGCCAATCACGCTACGCCACTGGCCCGAAAGGATCTTCTCCGGGCGTTTTCGGAAACAGAAACAGACAAAAACCTTGCTCAGACCCGTTTGAGTGTTTTATATCTCCATGGCGCGGCATTATTGCTCTACAATCAACGCGGAAAAGCCACTTCACGTGCATTGCATGGACCATGTTCATGCAGCGACTGGAGCGATTGGCTGACGCGCCCATGCGCGTCAGCCAATCAGATGCGTTGAAATGTGTCTATCTGCCTCGCACATGAACCTCCCTGGCCGAGCAGCGGACTCGACGAGACGCGCGTGTTACGTCCTCCAGGGATCCCTTTGGGTCGAATCCCCGAACGAGTCGATTCCCGAATCCGCTGCCACGAAGCACGCCGCATGGAAATGTTATCGATAGAAATGTTATCGATAACAAGCCACCAGATGTCTCTGTAATATTTCGATCCTCCCCTACCCCTCGGAGTGTCGCCTCTAGTTCCACTCTCTACTCTATGCCCATACCCTTTGGAGTTTCCCCTATAGTTCACCGTTCTACTCTAAAGTAGAGCACCTCGTTTCGCGAATGCAGTCCTGAACGAGGATTGAGCTCGAAGGAAGCCGAGGACTTAAGCACCTCCTTATTCTTGGTTCGTCGATGCAGTCTGTGGGTCCTTGGAGTAATGGCACGCAAGAGCTAGTCAGACTCGCCAGGCTCTACCTTCTTAGGTGGTGTGCACCATTCCTTTGCGATTGACTCCTAAACGACTCCTTTCAAAGTACAGTGGAGGACATTTCCGACTACGGATACGGAGATGGTGAGATGGTTACACTCTAAAAACATCGAGCATAGGCCTATGACCGGCCTAATGGTAGCGAATCACGCGGCGCCATATGCGCCATCTCACGCCAACCAAGGAAGGACACATTCGCGGATCTGGGCTGAACTGTGAAGAAAGTACAACTTCGACTTATACACGATTGGAGGACCCTCTGCAGATCGTGACCGTTTTTCTACTACGCTCTCGAGCTTGCTGGGATCTTTTATAAGGTACGATAATCCCAGCTAATACCCGTCTAACGTGGGAATAACCTTGGGACCTGGGTCCACTGTCACAGGGATCATTAACAATTTATCGTAACACTCGCCTTTTCCACCCCATCGTGCTAAATTTTTGCTCGTGTACAAAGTTAGCACCTGCAAAGAGTCGCGGAAAGTTTTGTTTTCTCGAGGTTTACTTTCCTTTTTTTTAAAAATACTTTTCGGACATTCGTCTGATAGTGAGCGAGATGATAAGGAACGGAACGTGGCGAACTCTTGGCCGATTTCAAATAAAATTAGAAGTCTGTTTTTTTTTTATGGTCTGTTTTTCATGGCTTATTAGTATTTATTGTCCTTTGAATCTATAGTCCTGTATAATTTTTTCATCCAGTGGTATGGGACTCCGTTCCCGAGGTTTTCCCAGATCGAGGCCCAGTGGCGGATACAGGGGGGCGACCGCCCCCCTATGGCCAGGTTAGCATTTGATTTATTTATTCAAAATCGCATCTGCATTAAATTTTATTGGAGCCAGTGAAATAGATACTCAAGTTCTTACCCAAGACGAAAAATAAAAAAGACGAAAGGATGGGGGGGGGGGGGTAGGTAGGAACTTGGAAATCCTATGAAAAATTTCCGCCCCTGTCGAGGCCCAAGGAAGTTGAAAATTAACCGCAAAAGAGGAAAGATCTTTAGCAGACGACAGAGAGAAGACGAAAATCCACCAATGGAAGGACAGTTGTGCTGAGGGGAACTCGGTAGCAGACGACAGGGCGAAGACCTGGAATCCACCAATGGAAGGACAGATTGTGATGCATGATGGCGACAGGCAGGCTCCAGTCGGCGAGATTTCTCACTCGGGGCGGTCTCTAGCTTCAAACGAAAGAGGAGGCAAATAATTGTGTTGGGTCCAGATTTTTAATGTTTATCCATTTTATGTAAGCCTAGCTATGAGGCTACAAGGTTATGCTGAAGGTCCATTTTGTCCATTCAAAACTTTGCATAATCACTTCATATGATCAGCACTGAACTCCCTGAAGTCCTAGCTTGCCCCACCCACCTTGTGTTCACATTTATGATAACTTACACAACGTGATTATACAATTGCACGCATTGTAATAAGTATACTCACATATGGCTGGCTTCCCAGAGTCAACATCTGGTGTATTACTGGGTGGGCTTCATATATTATAAAGCAGTTCCCATCAGGTAAAGTATGAAGATAATGCCTACAATGTAATAGAAAGTATCCGATAGCAGTGTGTGAGAATGGATTGGTATAATTACCAGAATTTTCAGTATAACAGAACTCCAGTTGGTTGGCCCCACTCAAAGAGTGCCTGAGTTCCATCTATAGCAGAGGTTGGCAAAATCCAGCCCACAGGCTGAATCCAACCCACCAAGTGATTCTATCCAGCCTGCCACTCTGTCTATAGAAAGGAAAAATTATAGTTCGTTCAGTCGTAGAAAGGACAAATTTTGGACAAATGAAGGAGCTGAGCTTGCTCATTTCGTTTGTCATGATTAGGCCCTCTTCCTTTCCTCTTCTCAACTCTCCTCAAAAAGCCATGTTTCAACTACAGCCGTTTCTAGAATGGTACTTTCTTGGGATTCAGGTTATTGACACTTTAGTACATGGTGTTGACTGCAGTGGATGGCAAAATTTTGGCAATGATGATGGCTTTTCAGCTGTGGTACACATACCTTGAAACTTTTGGTGCCTGTAGTTTACTCCAGGCACATAATCTGTTCAGTGTTGGTTTCTAGTGGCAAAACATGTGACTACTACAGCAGAGTACCCCTTTAAACATTAAACCAAAAAAGGCATATTTTTGTTTTACTTTAAAAATTCATGCATGAATGGGTTATTATCAAGATGTCATGCTTCCCAGCATAGCCTGGCCCAACTGTCAAACTTGTCAACTCTGGAATTTGGCTATGTGCAAAGATATTCTATGCTTGACTGAGGTTCTTTTCCTCTTTTTTAGGTGGTGGAGAATTGTCATCATAATGGCTAACAAATATAATCTGAAGTGGAACTCCCACCATGCTGAGACTTTTGAAAATTTTGACATATTGCGTAGTAGAGAGATGCTTGTGGACATCACACTCTCCTGTGGTGGGCAAACAATAAAAGCTCACAAGTTAGTGCTATGCACAGGAAGTGCATTCTTTGAGAAGTTGCTACAGCGAGATAATAGCAAATGCCCAATTGTTCATTTCCATGGGGTGGACATGTTACATCTCAGGCTTCTGGTGGATTTCATGTACTTGGGTGAAGTGGATGTGCCCTCCAGTGATTTGGAGGATTTCATCACCCTGGCTGATAGCCTGGAAGTGAAGGGACTGAAAGGAGACAAATCCAAAAGGTTTGACTTGGGTGAACCCATTGGGAAACCTGGGATGTCACCATCATGTAGATCTCAAGTGATTAATTCTGCTCCATTTGCCAACCTCAGACCTTCAGATGCTCCACCCAAAACCAGCTTTGCTTCTACTTCAAGTCGCTCTGCTTCTATGAAACGGAGGATTCCAGCTGGCGTAGACAGTGCGTCAGGAGTGCCAGATATAATGTCTTTACCCTCTGCCTCACCTGCAGCCAACAAGAGGCCAAGACCTGAATCTATAGTACCTGATCAGGTAAGGACGTCTCATAACATGTTCTCCATAGGTAAATTCTTGCCTTTTTCCATGTTAATGCAATGTTCTCATGCTTAGTAGACTCATCTTTTAATCCATGTCCTTGTTTGCTTTTGTCAGTTTTTCAATAATAAAAAATCTGCTTTCAAACTAACATCAGTTGTTCATACTTCTATTAGATATATTCAGCATAATTTGATGTGCTGAAGATTCTCTATTGTCTTCTTTTGTCAGTGTCTCATTTCCCTACCTCAATTAATTTTTTCCCCATTTGTGTCCATCTGGCATGCTTGATCATAATAAACATAACAGATTTTGACCAACCAGACTACAGTTACAAATCCAGCTTAGTGAAAAACTTACTTACCTGTAGGTGTCACATAGAGCAATGCATGAGCGTAGTAATATTTCTAGATGGTATTAATGGAAGAAGGATATAAGTAGCTGGTACATGGCCATCACATGATTGAATTGTAATTTTTGCAAATAGTGCATGTTAATGCCAATTAACTTCTCGTGTGGATATGATAGATTTATCCATCATCGAGGTTTTTTCAATGAATGGGTGTGCTTGGATATGTATATTCTTTGTTACAATTTATCTGTACAACTAGCATTCAACTACAATAAAACAATGAGTGTTAACAGAAAAATTGTTCAAGAGAGAGTAGTCAACTTTATTTAGTTCAGGTAGGATCCTGAAAATATGACCCAGTCAATGGTCTTGATGATAATTGGGTGTGTTTCATTTAGTGCTACAGCAATGAGTATGGTTAGAATGGGCAATCTTTTACAGGATTTGTTACGCCCATTCCTTTATCAAACATTTCTTCTCTGGTAAAAAATATTATTTATTTCTTAGTTGGAAGACCTGTATTTTTTAAAAAAAGAGTTTACTTCCTCACATCATTGCCTGACTTTCGATGTATTTACCTCTGAACAAAGCTGAATGCATTAATGAAATTAACTTTTAAGAAATTGCCAGTGATTTTTCTGAGTTCTGACTGCAACCAATTAGTAATGCCTTACTTTCTGTTCTGTCAGACATTGGGCAGTGATGAATCCCAGTCAGGAACAGTTGTGAAGACAGAGAATGACGAAGAGACAGGTTCAGCCCAAGTGAGTACACTTTCCTTGATAGATGTAATGGAATATATATCTACTGCAAATGGGTGCCATCTGTGCCCATGAAGGTATGTTATATCTGATATTTTTGGTTTCCTCTCTTTGCTAATTTGTATGCTAATTTTTTAATATGATTGGTGTCAATAACCTGTATCCATCACTAATACCAATAGGTATTATTTAAAATATTGGAAAGGTTACTTAATTTTTTTGTTACTGGAGTCTCATCTGAATGCTGAAGTGCTCCTTTCTTTGCTTCTGGTGTCAAGAATGAAGTAGTCCTTGATTTCAAGTTGACATTTTATGTACTTTGGATTTTGGATTGGTTTGCAGCATAAGCTGAAGTTGAAGAAAAACCTGTAGAAAAGCCTTTGTTGATCCTGCATTGCTTTGTCATTCTGAAGTGTATTTCCATTTTTATCATGCAAACAATGTGGAGATGCCCTCAGGACCATCAGAATATCAGAAGTGGAGTGCTTAATAGTGTGTGTCTGAACCCAAAGGGAAATTAGATATTATTGTATCTCCACTGTTCATTAAACTTGTATCCATTAATGTCTATCACACTATATAAATCCACTATTGAAGGAACTTATTATGCAGGAAGGTGATCAATCAACTTATTGGGCTGTGGAGGAAGGGTTGTCAACAGCTGCAGCTGCATATAGCCATAGTTCCCATGAAGTGGAAGGAGGAGAAGAGTTACTGGACCCCAATGAAGTTCCACCACACATCCCTCCTGAGATTGTTCCTGAGGTGAGTGGGTATTATTTACAGTAGTATTTTGCATAATTTATTTACTTTCATCCCATCTCTTTGGAGCTGTGAATCCTACAGATTGGATGGTTGCCAGTAGTTCTTGAATGGTCTTGACTGTAAGAAGTAGTGCACTCTTGTTAGATTTTTTCCAATGTGGGTCTTGATGATGACATTGATGCCATCTTGTGTGTGATTGCTAGCATTCATCAAGTGGAAAAGCAGTATATGGATTGGATGAAAAAGTATTCACAAATGGGGTTTCCACCCTGTTGTCAAAATCTATGCCCTTGAGAAGTGGTCTGCAGGATATAGTTCTGCCTGATTGTGATCTGTTTTTGCACTTTAAGTAGATCAAAATGAACTGCTGCACAATTTACCAAATTATGAAGACAGTGCACCCCCACAACTTCATTGATATCAAGAAGCTCTTTTCTGGGTTTATATTCTTATTTGTGCAAAGACCATTTGGTACTCATGAAATTTGTGAGGTTTTTGTAGTCTTGTCTGTATGTGCCTGAAACATGCATTGCAAAATCCAGTTGTCCAATTAAATCTAACACTTTATCTTTTTTCAAGACACTCTTCCATGTGCTACCTCAATATGCTATATTGATAAGCTTTTGCAGTGATGAAAAGCCTTAGGACATATATCCATATGGAATGCTAAGAATTGGGATAAGCTTTCTTAGGTAATAATGCAGTTAGGTACCTGGCTTAGAAATATTCAGATACTTCAGCACTTGTTTGATGCATTAAATACACCATAACCCAAGTCCTTTCAGCTGTCACCTCCATCCATATTTAGTTTCCTTAGGAATAACAATACCATGTTAGGATGTGATGTCTGATTTTTCTGAACTACCATCAAAATTTCAGTCTTTCATTCTATCAAGTCTGGCTTTCTACAAGACTGGAGAATATGGGCTCTTGGATCTTGTTTTCTGATTTACCTTCATATACATTAAATTCACCTTGGGTATCTGAGTGCCCAGCTGCATCCAAAAACCAAAGGTCATATTGGGAATTAAAGCATGGAATGCATATATATGCCTATCAGAGTATAACAAGAGGACATGATGGGGTCTGGTCTGGTATCATCATGGAGAGCAAGGGGAAGATCTACTTCTGTACATTCTGCAGCTACCAATCACCATACAAGACAAGTACACTGCGACACGTGCAGTCGCGACATACTGGTGAAAAGCCATATGAGTGTGGCCTTTGTGGTCGGAAGTTTATTCGAAGGGAGAGGTTGAGGAACCACATGCTCACCTGTCATTCTGTGTGTTGATAGTGTAAGTGATTGACCTTAGTACCCTTTGCAGATTAATAATGGGTTTGTGATTTTTCTTGATTAAGATTCTCATTTGATGTTGTGTTTTCACTCATGTGGATTGAAAGACCTATCTTCTGATCTTGCCAATGACAACAGGATCTCCCCAGAAAATTTGTGAAGCTTGCAAAGCAATGGTGAAAGCATTTAGATGTGAGGAGACAAAAAGAAGGTATCACTGCTAGAGAGCAAAAAATGGACAGGTGCAACTGTTTTGGCATTGTCATGAGGCTGATGCAAGTTCAAGTCCATGTCTTCCAAAGTAGCTGGTTATGCACTAGCAAGGAAAATAAATGAAGAATCAACTGGAGTTTACTCTCTTCATACTGCATAAGAAAAGGTTGCAAGGGGTGACAGAGCCATAATGCTCACATACTTTTCAAGAAACCATTTGTAAAAAGTTGTTCAGTTGTTATTCATGCTATTGCCATACACAATAGATTTATTCACTGTAATCCTCACAGGGAGTAAATAAAATTGATTTCAAGCCTGTATTTGTCAGAATCTTTTCTAAGACATTATTTGGATTTTGTCTGATCATGATAGTGTCACTGACTGGTGATGGGAGTAAGAAGAGAAACTAAGTGAAAGCAGGCAGAGGTGGTTCCTTCTCTCATGATCTGTATAAAATTGTTCTCAAAGAATAATAAAGATGAACTCTCTACCTCTTCTTTGAAGTTTTTTTTTTAGTGTGAAATACATATTATCTGAAATGGAAAGAAGAAATTCATCAATGTGCATTTTTTGCAGCCATATGTAGCGCTATTAGAATATTTTGTCTGTTTTGTTCACATTAATATCAGAAATTGCAGCATTGGAGGTGTTACTTGCCTATTACATTTTCCTGTTCTTGGAGTGAAAAATATTGGTTTCAGCTTCTTACCTTCCCTCATTTGTATCATTTTTGGCTGTACCTGCCTTTTGTTGGCTCATTCTCTGCATTCAATGTCAAGAGAATAACATCTTTCCTTGGGAAAGCCCCCCTATCATGCCTAAATACCCTAGTTGCCTTTTCTGCTTTACCCTGTTGATTGCTTTCATATCCATTCACTTGTATGGATGCCATGTCAGAGCGGTATTGTATGATATGCATGACTACTTTGATATGTAAAGATAGAACTACTGCTTTGTCTTTGTAAAAGAAAGTGAACCATTGATATTCATGGATTCTAATTCGATTGGAAGAATTTTGAACTGCTACAGTTAGTGCCACTAAGTATTTTTCCCCATCTTTTATCAGTGCATGAAACAGATGTGAGAAAGAGAAGCCCTCATCATCTTTGCTTTTTACTGTTTGGGTAAAAACATTGTATTAGCCTCAGCTTCTTATAATTATGGAGAATGGGACAATTTTTTCCCTTGCACACTGATGGAGTAAGACTGACTATCTGTAAACCAGCTGTCATTATGTGGAGTGGTCAATGCTTTGCAGTTCTGGGAAAGCATGGAACTATGGGGCTAAATCTTTAACCATGTATTATATAGGAAAAATCTTACCCTTTTTTTCTGAGAAAAGGTGGTGAAAAGGTAGGACATGCACACCCTTAAGTCATGTTCACATTATCATGGTGTGATCATAATCAACTGATGATGATCATGGTTAATCACTCATTGGCTTTCACATTTGCACTATTAAGTTCAACAGTGATCTGTGATGAAATGGTCACATGTTCAGGGCACCATCTATTATGGCATCAATTTCCTGCCAGTTGAAACAGGGTTTCCTACCATGCAAGTTTCCACAAGCTGCCTCTACCATGATGTAACAGGGTGACTGATGGGTTCACACTATCATTTTTTGGCACCTAATAATGTTGAAAATGATTAGAAGGTGATCATTGTTGCACATACAATGATAGTATAAACAGGATATTGTGTTGCCAGGACCAGGTGAATGTTTAAAGTGTTCCTAGACTGACACTGTACAGGTACACCCCTCTCCTAGTCCCAATGACAGTAAGGAAGGGGCACTGGCAACCAAGAAGTCAGTATCAGGGATTGACCAGCCAGTTCACTGCTTTTGGAGGATTATAAAAATATCACATAACAATCAATGACCCCTTCTTGCTTGTCTATTTTTTTTTATATCTCTTGGGAATATTATTCCTTTTCCCATCCCATTTTTTCCCTTAGAATATCAAACAATTGGTTCAATTCCTGTCTCAGCAGGAACTAATTCTGGTGTATCTCTCCTTGCCATTGGTACAGTATTACAGTCTTACTTAAATGCCTCACAGCCCTAGAAGTGATGTATGATCTATACATAAATAAAGAGATATTTTGTGAATTGTGCTGATGAGAGGAAAACATCAAAATCATTCATATATGGAACTTTTTCTGCACATCACAGTTATGAAAAAATTTAAACCATTTTCAAGAAGTGGATCAATTTTGGTGTCTTGATTACAATCTTCATATGCTCTTGTCCGACATATGACTAGGGGCCTGTTTGAAATGGCCCGAGAGAAGTATATCTCAACTTCCATAAAGTGCTTGTAGCTGCAGACTTGGTTCAAACTAAGAACCAAGGACCTTCATACCTTCAATATCTGCCCAAGAACTTTCAAATAGATTTGTGCCCATTCAAAGCACTTTATGAGGTTGATGATGAATAATGCTTGCAAATGTCTGGCATTTTTTTAATCTTGAAAACTGAGTGAGCATTGATAGTTCATGATGAAAGGAGGCTTTTCTGATATTCTTTTGCAAATATGTTTATGCAGATCTTGCTCAAGAGAAATCCATGCAAGCTGTGTCTTGAGATGCATTATACATTCCTGATGGATCTGTTTTGATGAATTAAAAATGAAAATAAGTTTGTAACCCTTCTTTTTCAAATAATTGCATGACTGGTGTGGTTACCAGACATTGGTGAGGGAGACAGAGGGAGTCTGGAGTGGTCGTCGATTGGGCATCAACTGCAAGCTGTTCTTCTGTTCATTCTGTGCTCACAAGTCAACTAGCAAGTCTAAAGCCATTGTTCACCTTCGTCAGCATACGGGTGAAAAGCCTTACAAGTGTGACTTCTGTGGTCAGACTTTCCACATCAAGTTCAATTGGAAGCGTCACTTGATTACTGTGCACTCTGTCCGTTGAAAGCAAAGGGTGCAAGGTGTGTACTCTGTCACATGTTACAATTCCTTCTGTAAGATGTGTCATGGCAATAGAGGGTACTGCTATGCTTAGAATATATATTAGGATTCTGTAGACACTGAATTGAATCCATATGAGAAAATAGCATATTATGCATTTCATTTTATTTTTTGAGAGTTTCAGTGTAAACCTGAATTGGAAAAGCTCAATTTGAATATAGTGGTGTGTGGGGTGGTTTTGGTTCTTCAAAGGATTTTTCAAAGTCTCTGTTAGGTTTACTTGGTCTTTTGACTGTAGAATTCCAGTGTATTGTTGGATTTGTGATGTTTTCCCACCTTCCATCTCATGCCATGTTGTGATATATTTCATCATCTTTAAAAAGTGAAATTTGTCATTTATCATTCTTTCATCATTTATCATCCTTTTATCATTCTTTTCTTTTTTATTTATTTTTTACAAAAATCCTGTTGCACTCTTTCAAGGATCATGCTTCTTGTCACTTGGATGACTCCTTCAAAGGGTTTTTATTATCTTAATAAATCTTATTCCTTTTTCTATGAGCAAACACTAATAGTGTGAAATTTGTCATAATTTCAAAGAAATTAGCATTAAGATGTTTTTATTCCTCAGCATTCGGTGTTTTGAAAGAAAGCCCTGAAAACTTATGCTTCTCAAATGAAAAATCCCATTAAAAGTGCATTGGTATGCATTTAACTGAGCATTCAGCATCAATTCCAGATAAATCCAGATTCCAGAAAATTCCAGAAAAATCTCAGTGCATTTTGTGTTGAAGGAGTTCCAATGCTCACATATAGTGTAAATGATGCTAGAGTATGAAGGTTTTCTGTTATGGCTTCAAGTGAATTAATGGAATTTCCTGGTATCCACCTGTGGTTGTGAGGCAAGCCCATAGCTTTGGTGATCAATATCTCTGGTATCTTATTATTTTCTTTACAAAACAGAAGGGTTTTCCTCACATCATGCTCCTTAAGTTTTATTTCCACTTGTTTAACATCCAGAGTTCATATTTTGGTAGCAAAAATTATGCACATAAGATCAGCTATACCTGCCAACATAATATGTAACTTTGGTAATGTTTAAATTCATTTATTCTTTTGTATGACAGTCATGCTCAGGCATACCCAATCTTTTGGAAATACAGAACATTTTCAGAAACCAATTCATCATATTAACATCCTTGATAAGTGGAAGCATCTTCTTTTCAATTAAGATTTTCATTGTGTGATCACTACCTCTCTCTAGTTGGAAGTGTGAGATAACAGCCCTCCTAAGTCAAATGTCATGCTGCGATTGCTCTGTTGCCTTCTTCAGCTTGCATGTGATCATCATAACCATATCGGAACTTTCAGAAAGATTTTGTTAATGTTATGTGTATTCCTGCAGAGTATACAATCTGCGGGGCATGCTGTTTGGCGAGGACAGATTGGTGTCAATGGTCTTTGGACCTACTTTTGTGGGAACTGTGCTTACAAGAGTGTCTACAGGAGTCACATGGACATTCATATCCGAAGTCATACTGGGGAGAAACCATTTCAGTGTCGATTGTGTGGAAAGACTTTCTCAACTAAAGGTAATGCCAGTGCCCATATTGTGAGCATTCATAAGGTTCCTGTCCAAGACAATATCCTAGTTTTGCACAAAAAAATTTGAATGTGCAAGGCATATATGACAGGCTTATATTGAGAACCCTCCTCTCTATGGTTGTGGTGTCTTCCAAAATGAAATGTGTGTGTTACTCCTGAAATTTCTAAAGGTGAAGTTACTCTTTCAAAATAGTGGAAGAAAAATGTCAGAGGCTTGGCCTGCAATTTTCAGTCTTTGCTTTTGCATCCTGTCCAATAGACATCCTATTGAAAATACTGATATCTTGTTGTGATTCTGATAGGACATTGCATTGAAATGATCAATGTATCATTACAAGTCCTGTTTGATTTTTCCCATGCCATATTCATCCAGATTTTCTTCTGTTCTTAGAAGCTGAAGCTCTGCAAACTGTTCATTTTACATTCCAAAAAAGGCAGGAATTTTCCCATTCCTGCACTGATTCTGGTGATGGCTGGATCAGGTTGGAACATGACAGTTAATAGAATATGATTTTCTTTTGTATGGTTTCTGTTTTAGGTGGAACTTTTTTGCTTGTTCAAGCCTGTTAAAGTTTATTTTTTTAAATTCCAGTTCAGTTCAATTTTAAAGTCATGGTTATTCATCATTTAAGCTTGAAAGATGGTATCCTGTTGAGGATGACAGGAAATTTTTTTTAAATTAAAAGCTCAAGCACTGATCAAGTCAGTCATTTTTTTCTCAGGCCATGTATACTAATTAACCTCAAGAAGAATGTTCAGATGACAACCAGAAAGTTTTGTAATCCAATATGTAGTCGTGATGAGATTCATTATCCATCCCACATGCTCTCTGCATGTGTGCCTGCAGGAAGGCAGATGAAAGATATTCCTTCTCCTTGATTGTAAATAACCTCAAAACCAGAAAGTTTATATTAGAATTTAATGAGATAAGATTTATGCTAGCATGAAATAAATACCATTGAATAGCACTTTCTATGGTGCAATCTGTAGCAAAAAAGCTCATGATATATTGGTCATACCATATATCTTCCACATGGAAATAACTCACATTCTGTACAAACATTCATTTGGTCTTGTATACAAGCACTTAGTTATAATAGTTCTACAGGGAACTTTTCCAGAATTTTTGAGTGACTCTAAAGTTCTTGCTAATGTTGTGCACTTACATTTAAGAAATTAATTTCATAACTCATGCAATTTGTTTTGACAGTTCATGTATCAAAATGGCGAGTAAATACAATTTGAAGTGGAATTCTCACCATGCTGATACATTCAGCAGCTTTGATGTGTTACGTAGTAGGGAGATGCTTGTGGATGTGACTCTTTCCTGTGGTGGACAGACAATGAAGGCTCATAAATTGGTGTTGTGCTCTGGGAGTGCCCTTTTTGAAAAACTATTGCAGAAGGACAGTAGTGCCTGTCCCATCATCCATTTCCATAGCATGGAGATGATGCATCTTCGGCTTTTGGTGGATTTCATGTATTTGGGGGAAGTGGATGTGCCCTCTAGTGATTTAGAGCAATTCATTGCCCTTGCTGAAAGCCTTGAAGTGAAAGGCTTGAAAGCAGATAGATCTAGAAGGTCTAATCCACCTGCTGAAGTTGGGAGGCCAGAAATGCCATCAACTGCTGGAAAGTCTTGGATGGCTAGCCAAGGTTCCCTTATGAGCTCCTTGGGAGCTGCAGTTCTACCAAGCACATCTGGTTTTTCCTCTACTGCTCCCGTGAAACGGAAGCTCTCAATGGCTATGAGTAGTGGCTTTAGATTGCAAGATGCTCAGCACTGTCCTCTTTCCTTGCCAGTGTCAGAGAAGAAGTCTAAGTCTGAATCAATCCATGCTGATACCTCAAGTCAGGTATGAGTCAGTCAGTATCTAACTAAATGTCAAGTTGGAGCATGTTTCAGATCTTGCCCTAAAAGTAGTAGTTCTTGAAAATTTATTCAATATCTCCACCAGGCATCTGACATGGTTCAGTCAGAAGATTTGGTGAAAACTGAGACTGAAGAAATTGAAGAAGTGGATGAGTTGGAAGTGAGTTTTACCTAGAGTATCAGTAGCATCAGATGTGGAAATTACTAGCTTGAGCTATCCCAAAACTGCAATTTGACAGGAGGGTGAAGATTCTTATTATGGTGAAGAGGAAGAAATGAGAGCTTTTGAATGTGATGATGATACCAGTTCATATCAAGTGGAAGGAGAAGAGTTTGATCAAAATGTACTCCCTGCCAACATCCCTCCTGAAATAGCACCTGAAGTGAGTTGCATGTTAAAGTCTTCCATGCTTTATAAGTTGGTGTTTTGTCTTGATGACTCATGTGACAAGTTTACCTATAGGATTTTGAAAGACCTTCATGAGGTTTCTTCCTTTTAAGAGGCATGTCAGTTCTCTCTAGAAAGCTGCTGGATTATACTAAAGCTGCATGCTCTTGACACATTGTACCATTTCCACCTGCTTTTTGGAGTTATCACTAATCCTGGAAGCATCTTTGTCATCGTGCTAAGTTTTTATAATTGCTATTGGGATAAAGGGATAGAAGGAGAAGTGGACTCAAGATTTTCTTCTCAAGGTATTGAGAAGTGAGAAATCTGTTTTTGGAGAATTCCCTCAATCAACTATACAAGGCCAAAAGTCAGTAAAATTTTAGAGGTTTTGAGTTCAATTTAGTAAAAATCTAGTATCCCAGAGTATGCCAAACCTAGGGACAACATGCATCCCATGTCTTGGATAGTTAGGTGAAGCACTCCTTAGAGAAGTAATTCCTTTGTGCCCTGTTCAATAGAAATATGTTTCATTGTAGCTGTTAAATGCCCTGAAGCAGGTAGGTCAACCCATGCAAGATGTCTGTCACAACTGAGTGATGAGAGAGCATGTGATTGAGGAGTCAGTTTCCTTGATTATTTTGGATGTACAGGGTGGTCCACAATTGCCTCCCCAAAAGTAAGAGCTTTTTACTCAGGAAGTATACATTCAATTTCATTGACATATGACTCATGTGATAGCCAACTCAATATATTTTTATTGTGGAAAATTTCAGCATTCCATAAGGAACTAGGAGAAAGTTACATCCTTATGAAATCTGCCAAATCATTAGTGTTCAACACGACTTTCACAATTTTCAATGACCTGGTGCAGTCTCTCTTTGAATGTCAGCATAATTATTTCAATCATCGCTGATCTACCATGGCGAAGGCATCTCTAATGACCCGTTTCAGCGTATCTAGGTCGTCAGGTTGTCAATGAATCTCTTCAGGTTCAGAAACCTCTTATGAATTGCAAGACTCAAGATGGAATTGTGAATTTCAAAAGAAATTGTGATATCTACAGGTTTTAGCTGCACGATATGGGTAGTTTAATTTATTATGGCGTAACTTTGTTCTAGTTTCTTATGAAATGCTGACATTTTCCACAAAAAAAAATATTAAATTGGCTATCGTTTGAGACATATGTCATTGAAATTGGATGTATACTTCCTGAGTAATAAGCTTTTACTTTTGGGGAGACAATTGTGGACCACCCTGTATATTTTGAAATATTATTTTTCTGTTCTTCCGTATGTGAACTTTTAAATTGGATGATTCAGTTGTCAGAAATAGGCTCACTTGTGTTTTTTGACAGTGATCCCACTATGGACCAGTCCTAATTACATTGCATGGACTAAGTGAAATGCTTCATTTCCCATGAAGCTTTAATATAACATGGGAAACCTATCATTGGCAAAAATGTAACAGAGAAACATAGTGTCTTTTGGTTTGTGTCACGTTCAGCCAGCTCTGTCAAACCACAGTGGAGCAGAGAAGTGAATTTTGAGAATGACAGAATCCCTCCACAGACTTCTTTCAACTGCTTGTGAATGTTAATGATTTAATTGAGTTATTATACATGTTTTCTATTTCACATATTTTGAATGCCTAATTTAAAATTGAGATCTACAGGGTGGGCAAAAGTCAGTTTACCATAAGCCCGTGTTTTTAATTTTTGTTTTTGTTCATTCCAGATTGAAATTTGAAAATTGGAATTAAAATTGGAAATTGGAAATGGAGCAATGTATGAAACTAACAATGGAGCAACGTGTGTTTCTTTGCAGGAATGGTGGAAAACAAAACATGGGTTTATTTATTACCTTTTATAATATATTACAATCATGTACTTTCAGTAAACTGACTTTTGCCCCACCCTGTATATCTGGGGGAACATGATTATCTGCAAATACCTTGTTCTATGCCATGTCCCAACTCTCAGTTATGGTGGGTGTCAATAATCTATCACTCTCCATAATGTGGATAAAATTTTTCTTGGCAGAAATGTCATAGAGCCTCCATAAATATTTATCTACTTAATCTAAACATCGTTGTTCATAGCTTGCATTAATATAAACACATTCTCTGATCCATTCTCACTTGTTCAATATGGACTTATATGAGTATGATGGAGAATTGGGTGAATATAGTAATATTTTTCCTATATAAGGCGATTCCTCAAGAAAGAAAAACCAAGTGTCTCATCTGTTTTCCTTCTCTTGACCATCTCTAAACCCATAGGGAAAAAAATAAACTACTCACTCATATTCCTCCCTTTCCTGGATCCAAAATATCAGGGAAAAGGGTTAGCACAAAGTTCTTGCACACAAGCCTCAAGCACATGGTTAGCACAAGGCCCTTGTTTGTTTCATTGATTACTTGTATCCACTTCCATGGGACTTGTGAAATTGAGACCCAGATGTACTTCACTACTGAATGGCAGCTGGGGAAAATTATAAATAAGAAAAATTGCTCTCCAGGCAGAGATATATTGAAAATTGTTTCCATTTTCTGATGTAGAGTTATTTATTTTAGCTTTCTTTTTTTTTAATGAGAAATTACCAAGGATGATTCAAATTTTAGTGCATTTACAATTGTTTTTTGTTTGGAGAAGTCTTTTTTTTTGTTGTGCAAGGTCTGATCACTCTAGATGGAATATTTTTTCAATTCAAGATAGTTAGTGATATCATGAGGCGATTTCGCCCATTTCGATATCGCATGTTGAGGTCGAGTGTTCCTTAATTTTAGAGTAGGCCTAACCCTCTTAAAGCTAAATATTTTTGTATTTTTTGTTTGTTTTGTTTTGTTTTTGTTTTTGTTTTTTTTGTTGTTATTTGCCTATCCTAGTTGCATACTGTCTAGTACCTAACGTCAACTCTTCGTCAACAACTAGTCTAGTCCTAATACCTAATGTCAACAACTTTTCACTCCTGCATTACTTCACTTGAGTAAAACTGATACTGGCAGTGGTTTTGGTCATGTACAAATTTGGTACAAAAGTAAAAATGTAAGTATTTTTAAAGTAAATCTAAGTAAAAGTAAAAAAAAAAATTCCATTTGAAATGAAGAATGTTTCACTTATACATTTATTCCTGGAAGAATGGGAGCTCCAGGTTAAATGAAATTAGACTGAATTGAGAAAGAGATTGGGGAACCAAAATGCTGTGTAAACTGTGTTACGTATTTAACACGATGTAATTATCCCATGTTTTGCTGTGGGATTAACAGAAAAGTCTTCAACTGCAGTTAATACAGAAATGCTTCTAAATAAAGTGCTTTTGAAAAGTGTTTCAACCTAACCATCTGTGGGGCACAGAGTGTAATTAGTTGTCAATAGGAGTTTGCTGTTATGTCCACAACTTAACAACTTTTTACTGTCTTTAAAAATGTCAAAGCAAGAGAAACCATGCCAAATGTCGCATAAATTTTCATCTTAATTTGACTGCACTAAGTATGCTACAGCAATTTTAATTTACCATGGTTGTAAACCTTCTTTCCAAGAAAAAAACCTTCAAAGTTTCAGATTTACGGGTCTTAGAAAAGCCCTACACCTACACACTTCCCTTTTCAGCACATGCATGCAACTTTGGTGGGGAGTTCAGATCCTGCCAGATCAATAGGTACTAAGATCCCTAAGTCAACTTCTTGGGGGGGTATTTTGAAAAATAGCTTTCCTGCTAATTTGTTTGTTCTGAGTTTTGATATGGTTTTCCTCATTGTGATATGTGTGAATGCTGAGGCTTTGAAAATATTTGTCACCCCTATCCAATGGCTGTATTTGGTAGACATTGATGAAGGAGCAAGGAGGAATGTGGAGTGGTCGACAGATCGGTGTGAACTGCAAAATATATCTATGCTCCTACTGCCCATACAGAACTCCAATCAAGACAAATGCTCGGGCACATGTTCGAACTCATACTAATGAGAGACCATTCAAATGTGATCTCTGTGGTGTGGCTTACAAGAAGAATGTGCTTCTGAGAAAGCATGTAGCAAAATGGCATGCTTAGTTTGATTTCATTTTAGTTTTCATTCTGATCCTTGTACTGACTCCAGTGTCATGAGGTGATTTTGTTTTCCTGAGTTTTTTTCATCAATTTTATCTTGATAAATTGTTGTCTTTCCAATATATTAGTAATTGTGTGAAAATTTCTGTCAAAATCTACTCCTCCACCCACTGTCACTTGAGTGGATATGACAGCTACTAGGGATGTGGAATGCTTATCTTGCAACAGAATTCAACATGTAATGGCAACCTCTAATCCAAGCAATTGAGGTAATGAAATGCTTTCTGCTTTCAAAGGATTCTTGGGGAGATTTTACTGGAATCAGCTGACACTGAATCCAATTGACTCATCATGGTTTCCATTAAGTTAGTCCACAGAATGAAGGCACAAGTAACATTGAATCTGACTATCAGTGTTGGGAAAAACAGTTCAAAGAAACTATTGCTACTAGTAAATAATTAAAAGGGCTCTATTTAAAATGCAGCCACTATAAAATAGTTTCTCAATTTAAAAAAAAATGGAAATTGCAAATTAGAAAGTGTCAAATGAATTCTCAATTGCATTTGGTTATTGTTTTACTATCAAAAGCAACAAAACCACTAAATTCTTACAAAACTAGTTGCTCCTGCAAGAGGCAACTTGAAGAATGAGGAATCCATAACAGATATTGTTTTGAATATACATGGTGTCTATATGAGTGACCATCTATGGACAATTTATTTTTTAATTCTTAATAACCAAATATGTTGTGTGCATATACTGACTATCTTTTCTCCTTTTACTTTGGTGTGAATGGGAATTAAAATTTTTCTGACCATTGTTTGGGTTCAACACTAGAAATACCAAGGAAATCATTTTGACCACTTGCCAAATTTTAATGCACTTTACTCTGCTCATTTGGCAACTAAGAGCCACTGCAGTTTTTACTTTTCCTATCTAATATTGACATTTTGAACATTTTAGCATGCTGAACATCCAAAAAAACATACAGAAAAAAGCAAATAAAATGTTACAGAATGAAAGTTGTATGCTACTTTTAATACAATAGTTAAATTGATCACTCCAGTCCTTCTATTGTTAAGCAAATCAACAGGGTGCTTCAGCTTGTTCATTATTACCAAGAAAGCTATTTTTCCAGGTGGTTTTTCCTGCAGACAATGAGAATTTACTTGAAAAGGTTTATTTCACTGATAACTTTTATTTTCATTTGCATGGACAAGTAAACCATCAAAGCTGCAGTTCTTGTGAGAAGAAACTCCTACTGTGGAATTTAAGTACACTTCTAGAGTTACAGCATGGTGCATGGTTTCTCAGGGGTGCATTATTTGCCCTTCTTTTTCTAAGAAACACATGATTAAAGAAAATTATTGCAAAATGTTTGAATGTCCATTTGAGGAACATGAATTTTGAGGTTGAATTTTACAATGTTACCAATAGAAAACATGCTGAAGTACCCTTTTGTTTTGCTTAAGCCGAAACAACAGTCAGAGAATGTAATAATTCTGCCACACCAGATGAAAATTTTGACATCATTCCAATGTCTACAGATTGTCAGTTGAGATGCACAGAACCTGGTTGCATTGATGCACTTTCTTTACCAAGAGTGTATAGCATTTGAAATAGCTGGTGATCCTCTTTTCTCATGCAATCTGGTACATCAATCAAATAATAATTGTTGCATGTGTCATACATATCTCATCTGCAAAAAAATCACACCAATGTAAGCAAAGGAAAATTGGTTTTGTTAATGCTTTCACTGTGTGCATTAATATAGAGCATCCAACCTGTGGATCGAGCAGTTTGGCGAGGGCAGCTTGGTACTGGCCTTTGGACCTACTTCTGTGGCATCTGTGCTTACAAGACTATCAACAGGACTTACTTAGACATTCATATCCGGAGACATACAGGAGAGAAGCCCTTCCAGTGTCGACTGTGTGGAAAAGCCTTCTCAAGGAAGGACAGTGCCAGTACCCATATTATGGGCATTCATAGATCCCCAGCCCAGGATAACATTATTCTCCTGACCAAAAAAGTATAAAATTTACAATGTAAATCTAAAATGTTTGCCATTCCAAAGTCTTGAAGTCAAATTCTTTTTACTTTTTTGTGATATCATCTGATAGCAAGGAAAGTCAAGAACCTCATGTTGGTGGTACCTTTTCAAAATGGGTGATAGAGAGTGACATGGGATGTACAATGTAAGGTTTTACCTGAAATTCCCATGTGATTCATGCTGTTTTTTTTATTATTATTCTCATTTCACTAATTCACATTTCCCATTTGATATTGATGATCCCCAAAGCCCAAATATTTTATTTCTGAGAAGAAACACAACCATTACCATATGTGGGGCATAATTGGTAATGTCTTTTTTTGTGCTTGAAAGTCTGATGACACAAGTAGACACTTCTTGATTTCTGCCCACCTCAATTGTTATAGCTGGGACTGCACTTGAAACATCCTTGACTTGGAATTCATTAAAGATGAGATACACTGATTTTTGTGGGACTTAAGAAGAATATCAGTCAAAGTGAAAGCCATTAAGCTTATGAAAGCCATATGAATGCAAAATCAAGTGCAATCAAATACCTTACATGCAGTCTGCATGAGTGCCTCTGAGAGGCAGGTTAAGGTATTCCTCATCCCTGATGGTATGCATCTGCAAGACTTATCTGCATTGAAAAGTATGCATGTGATATGTTGCAAGAAATACAGAAAAAGTGAATCAACAAATTTTGACAGGCAAGACCAAAATAACGTTTCATTGAATATTTCACATTTTTCTAGGATATCATGTTTTTAAATGGTTGCCCTCTCATCTAATATTTTTCATGTGGTCCTATGGGCAATGGAAGTTGCTGATTTTTTGCCTCTGTTATTGCTAATTTTCTTTTATAAATTCAATGAATTCAAAAACTCATTTCCTATTTCCAATTCAACCAGACACTGATGCAAAAACTTATTGACTCCAAAAATAACTTTAAATAGTATTAGCTGTTTTCTTTCACATAAAATCTGAGCTACCAAAATAGTATTGCATTCTAATATACAGGGTGTCTGAAAAGTCACTCCCTATTTTTAAATTGTTATTGCTCCTAACCCAAAGGAGATATTGAAAAATTTCTTTAACTGAATTGAAGCTTATTTTTTACCGTTTACTTTATAACAAAATTGAAAAGCTTTATTACAAAGTTAAAATTCAACGTAGGCTCCAGCATTGTCCACACACTTCTGTAACCTTACCGGTACATTTTCAAAAGGGGAATTTCTTTTTAAATNTTATTGCTCCTAACCCAAAGGAGATATTGAAAAATTTCTTTAACTGAATTGAAGCTTATTTTTTACCGTTTACTTTATAACAAAATTGAAAAGCTTTATTACAAAGTTAAAATTCAACGTAGGCTCCAGCATTGTCCACACACTTCTGTAACCTTACCGGTACATTTTCAAAAGGGGAATTTCTTTTTAAATTGCTATTGCTCCTAAACTGAAGGAGATATTGTAACCATTCTTTCACTGTTTTAAGCTTACTCATTACCATTTCTATTATAAGTGAATAATGGCTGCAAAATTAAGCATAGAAGAACGAGCAACTTAATTTAATAGGTTGTAGAGGGCCAATGGAATGGCCTGCTCAAAGTCCAGATTTAACGCTGTGCGACTTCTTTCTGTGGGGCTGGGCGAAAGAATTAGTTTAAAAATCAAAACCAAGGATCATTGATGAACTTGAAAACAAAATTCGTGATATTCTAGGCAATGCACCAGGTGACTTCTTGAGAAAATCTGTTGAAAATGTACCGGTAAGGTTACAGAAGTGTGTGGACAATGCTGGAGCCTACGTTGAATTTTAACTTTGCAATAAAGCTTTTCAATTTTGTTATAAAGTAAATGGTAAAAAATAAACTTCAATTCAGCTAAAGAAATTTTTCAATATCTCCTTTGGGTTAGGAGCAATAATTTAAAAATAGGGAGTGACTTTTCAGACACCCTGTAGACCACTTATATGAAATAGTCCTGCATCACTTTCTAAACATGTTCTGGGTATGGAAAAAAGACCCTCAACATTTAAGTTATAGCTCTACACTTTCTGGAGCCTTTGTTAGAAAGCATGGACTGTGCATATGTTTCAACACCCTTTTGAAATCTCATGCAATTTTTCAGTCTACTACTGTAAGGCTATGAACAATTATTGAAAGAAAATCAGAAATTAAAAATGGATAAGGGATCTGCCCTTGTAGATTCCACTCATACACCTGCAGCACAAAGGCTCTTCCCATTATCTCCTACCATGAGCCCCTGTTAATTTTCAAGTTCAAATTTTTTTTAAATTGTTCATAACCTGCTTTACCACAGTTAATTTCAATGAAGTTTAATCACTCTCATGCAAACTTATCAACCTGTGTGGGATGGAAGTTTTTTATTTATTAAAGCTTTTAAGATCAGAGATTACAAATTTGGTCAAAAGTCAGGGTTCTTTTTCTGTCACCCTGTATAGGTGTTTGTACACTTCTACAACTGGTGGTTTGGAACTTTTCCCACTACTGCTTGTTCTCTC